TCATACGAAACATTTTTCTCTATCCCTACTAGTTTTCGAGATATTTGACTGGATCACTTCAGATGGTCCACCCTGTATATAAATATACTAAATTTTCATTCAAAATGTTATACAATATCTTTTTTTTAACTTTTTTTTTTATTAACAGACGGATATACCGAACATTGTATATACCGAATTTCTACACGATATATAACATTCTCACGAGATATAATATTCTCATCTATTACATCTTATTCTCTCTTCTATTTCATCTTGCTTTAGCTTTAGTACAAAATCGTTCTTTGATGAATCGAGTCAGTTTCATAATGAACGTTATCAAATCCAAATAAGGATGCCGTGTAAACGTAGTATTTGTGATGTATTCTATTTTCAGTTATTACCCATACAGCACAGACACTTGTAGTAACATTGCAGAAACGTTGCAATGTTGCAGATTGCGCTGTAATATCGTTGCAACATTGCAGGTATTAGAAATTGTAATATCTAATACATATTATGGCGCAAGATAACATAACATAACATACTATAACATTAGTTCTTTTTCTGCACTTTTTTTATTTATATCTCAATTGTATTTCAAATTATATTCAGTAATAATAAAATAACTATTTTTAATAATAGTTGCAGATATATTGCGCTGCAGTATTGCTACGATATTACAGCGCAATCTTGCTGAAGGTGGACATTTTTATGATCCATGACATTGCAACAAGGTTGCAAATACATTGCGCAATCTATATGCAATATTACAACATTGCAATGTTATGAGATATATCTGCAATCATTTTACAATCTTTCTGTGCTGTATGGGTAGTGGTTTTCAAGAAAAATGAAAGGAATTCATAGAAAGGACTGAAAAGATAGTTAAAAGAAGAAAAAGAGGTGTAAAAAAAGCATAATACTGTATAGAGCAAAGTCAGTATTCATTATACTTGTGTCTTCATGATGTATTTTCTTTTCAGAATAATGATAACATTTTCTTTCTCTCATGAAAAAGGAAGGACTCATGGAAAGAAAAATAAAAGAAAAAAGAAAAAAGTAAAAAGAAGGAAAAAAGTATAAAAGGAAGCATAACGTTATATTCCCATACAGCGTAAAAAGATTGCAAAATGATTGCAGATATATCTCATTGCAACGTTGTAATATTACAAATAAATTGCGCAATGTATTTGCAATTGTTGCAAGTCATAGCATCATAAAAATGTCCTCTTTCAGTAAGATAGCGCTGTAATGTCGTAACAATGTTGCAGCGCAACGTATTTGCAACTATTATTAAAAATAGTTTTTTTATTATTACTGAATGTAATTTGAAATACAATTTGAGATATAAATACAAAAATGCAGAAAAAGAACTAATCAATATATATTTTATATTATGTATAATTTTATATATAATTTTATATATAATTTAATATAATTATTATATTTTATACTTAATTGCAAATTAAACATACTTAAACAAACATACTTAATTAAACATATTTAATTGCAACTAAAATGGTTTTTGACTTATAAGTATTTTAAAGTTAGCTTATAATTAAAAAAATTATTGTAGTTCCGATATTTTCGTATTAGGATTTTCGTCTCAAAATTACCTCCAGAATATGTCCTTAAGAAGAAATGCGATAGTTGTGAGACACCCTGTATATTTTACACTTTATGCAGGTGCGCCTATTTTGTACATATTCGTAATTGGCAAAATAGAAATATTAAGAAACTCCACGCAATCTATTTCATTTTTTTGCA